ACCCTGATGCCAAGCGTTTTTTCTAAGTCACACCCCAGTTGTGGCATTTTCTTTAAATTCCATGGTTAGTTCCCCAATGTCTGCAGAAGAAAGTCCGAAATTCCAAGAATGTTATACATGGTATATGTGTCCCTTGAGGATGAGTAACTGCATCTCCCCCAGTTTCATAGCTAGACCAGCCCCCTCAACACCCTCTGTACTTTAGCCAGAGTAATCCGTATTTCATTTGCAGAAATAAGTTTATTCAAGCTGCCCAGTTAGCTTAGTAGGTTAAAGCATGGTGCTGATAACACCAAGGTCCAGGGTTTGAACCCTAAATTAAAAGAGAGAGAAAAAGAGAGAGAGAGAGAGAGACAGAGAGAGAGAGACAAAGAGAGAGAAAGAAAGAAAGAAAGAAAGAAAGAAAGAAAGAAAGAATAAAAGAGAGAGGAGAGAGAGAGAGAGAGAGAGAGAGAGAGACAAAGAGAGAGAAAGAAAGAAAGAAAGAAAGAAAGAAAGAAAGAAAGAAAGAAAGAAAGAAAGAAAGAAAGAAAGAAAGAAAGAAAGAAAGAAAGAAAGTTTATTCTCTGTCCTCTGTGCCTTTGCTCATACTGTTGGTTTTGTCTGACATACCCTTTGCACCAGCCTTTTAACTTGGCTAAATCTTTCAAACCTCAGATCAGAAGTCAGAGCATCTCAGAAGTCTTTTTCAAGACCCTCTGGCCCCCTACTTTAAGTCTTCTTGTGTGTTCCTCTGGCATCCTATGCACAGCTCTGTCATAGCACTTATTCCGTGGCTGGTCATTCGTTTCCTTGAAAAGTTTTTTGTTTGTTTTGTTGTGAACATAAACTATAACGTGGAATACATTACCCTAACTTAGATATTTTTCACCCACCAACTCCTGGAATGCCAAGGGAGGGCTCACTGCCTTCTACTGGAAGTATAGGCTGGCAGCTGGAGAGAGGCTTTGACCCACAACTAACACTAGAAGCAGTGAAAAACAGCCATCTTGGGACTTGCTGCTTGTTTGTTAGAAGTTTGAGGTTGGGTAGGGAAAAGAGCAAAGGGCTGGCAAAATCAGGTAGAGGAAAGAAGAGTTTGAAGTCTAAATAGATAAGGAAGTGGTGACCCGAAGCAAGGAAGGCCTTCACTGGTTTATTGCCAACCTAAGGAACAGAAGTTCTGATTTATGAAGTCTCTTATTCTAATATGATGCAAAGGGACAAGAAAGCTAGATTGGAAAGTATAATACTTTGTTTTCCAAATCTGAATTCTGTCAAAACGTTTTGTGTATAGTGTGTGTGTGTGTGTGTGTTTAGCGGGGAGGAGGGTTAGCAACCTAGGCAGAAGCCTGAATGGGAAACGGAATTATTCTCCCCTCACCTTTCCATTCTCTGCTTCCAGAGCAGTGGATGACGGACACATCATCAGCGCTGACTTCTGACTGGAGTACAATGACCCAGCTGATCCTTCCAGGCCCTTACCTTCACAGAGAAAAATAGCCAACATTCCTTATGGCTCAAAAGCTGTAGCATTTTAAAACTGGGACTACAAAATACAATGGTCTGGCACCTGGAATGCCCTCAATAAATATCTGTTGATTGGACAAACAGAAAGTAAATGGGGCGGGGGGGAGAAGAAAGTAAATAAACAATAAGGGCAAAATGGCAAAATGTTGGTGATTATTGAAGCTGGGTAGTGAGTTTAAAATGTTCCACAATGAAAATTTTTTTAAAAAATTCAGTAAAATCCAAATTCAAGTTATTTGTATTTTTAATAAAATGTGGTTACTAAACAAGAGGTACACAAGATCACCCTCATTTTTGAGGATTGTAATAATGACATCAGAGATGTTAGAGGACTAAATAAGATCATGTGTGTTTATAAGTTTTTACAAGAGTAAACAATTGAGCGTGACATTTGCACATTTTGCTAATTAGGTCTTTTACGTTATTTAAATGATGGTCTGTGTTATAAATATTGTGGAATAAAATGGTAGTGGGGGTGAGGGGAGGGAGAAAAGGAAAAGAATATCTATTTGACTTGATTTACATTTAATTAATGTTTCTTCAGTGTTAGTGAAACTTTTTTATGTAGGAATTTGAGATTTTAGTAAAAAGTAAAAGCAAGATCCTAATGTGAGAGAAAAAACATTTTTATTATATATATATTACCTAAAGCCTCAAGTAAAATTTTCAAGTATAAATAAGGCATATTGGATTGAATTATGTCCCTCCAAAACTCACTGAAGCTTTGTGTCCCCCAAATTTTTGGTATTTTGGGTATTAGAAACTTAGTCCCCACTGTGACTGTTAAGAAGGTGGGAAATCCTATTATGGTAATTGAAAGGTAGAGCCTAGAAGAGGTGATTGGATTGTAGGATCCTGCAGTAGTGAATGGATTAAAAATGGTGGTCAGGAGCCTGGTTCAGAGGGCTTTAAAAGAACAGGAAAGTCTGTCTCTCTATCTACTCTCTCTGCTTCCACCATCTTGCACTGTGAGACCCCTGGGTCATTGTCACCACCACCAGAAGGACTTTGGACTTCCCAGCCTCAGAAACTGTAAAGAGTAAATTTTGTTTTTTTAATAAATTATCCAGTTCCATGTATTTTGTTATAGCAACACGAAAAAGGACTAACACATATGGTGTAGAAATTAATACATGCAATTTAGATAATTTTATTAGGGTTAAATAAACAATTCTTATACTCTGATTCTCCTTCTAGGCTGAGAATAGAAGACTAAGTCTGACAACAGAGAAAACACAATCAAATGTACTTTTTTTTTCTTACTGCCTTGCCTGTTGGGCTCAAATGTATTTTTAAGTAAGACATTTAAAAAGAAATGTTACTAATTTAATAATAAAGGCTATCATTTATCAAGTTATTTACTGTGTTCTTGGAATAATGTTTATCTCTCTGTATACTTTCCATTATTTGATCCTTTCAATAACCCTATCAGTAAGCTATTTTTACTTTCTATTTTTTTGTGTGTGATGAATTTTTTTTATTCATTATATATATTTGTGGGGTACAGAATTGAATATCAATACATGTGTACAGTATATGGTGATCAAATTAGGATAATTAGTATAGTCAAGTTCACAAAACTTAATAAATCTCTGTGACCCTTAACTAGTTTCTTGCCAACCTTCCACCCCCTTTCCCACCTCTAATAACCACAGTTCTGTTCTCTCTTAAAAATATGGAACGCTTCACGAATTTGCGTGTCATCTTTGCACAGGGGTCATGCTAATCTTCTCTGTATCATTCCAATTTTAGTATATGTGCTGCCGAAGTGAACGCTTTACTTCCTATTTTTGAGAAAAGAAAATACAAACTTGATGTGATTAAATAACTTGCTGAAAGTCAGATAGCTAGTTAATCGCCATTTCTGGTTATGAAAATAAGTTTATTTTATTGCAAAGTCTTTGTGCTTATATTGCCCAGACTACATGTTCCACAAGGACAAGGATCAGTCTGGTTAGTTCTCCATAGACACATATTACGTGTTCAATAAATATTAGTGAGCTTGTGTATGCTTTTCATTGCCATAAAGGTTTTATGATCCTTTATCAATTTTTTAAAGTTGTGTATATATTTTCCCAATTTTTGAAATTAGTAATAATGGGAACTAAAAGCCCCAAAGAGAAATATGTACATTTGTAAACTCACACATTATTGCAATAAGTATTTTTTAATGAAATTATTTTTTAAGTTTTATAAATTGCGAATTTATATTCATTAGCTAAGTTTTATTTTTAAGGGGTATGAAGGGCCCTTCTCCATTTGAGCCCCAGTTTCTCAAACTGACCTGATTATGTGGCCGAGGTATCCTTTTGAGGTATTAACTTTTTCTCCCTTGTTTTCCTTTCACCCCTGTGCCCCCATTCCAGGGATTAGTTTTGTGGCATTGCCTCAGGGAAGTACGTGGCAGGGCAAACAGCGCAGATGTCAGCAAATCTTTCAGATTTTCACTTTTTCAAAGCCCAGAGAGCCACTGAACAGGAAGAGGCCATGAGAACAGAGATCTCCAACTACAATGTGCAAGAACTGATAACTAACTCCTTGTGCACCCTTCCTCGGGCCCTTTTACTTGTAGACCTTTCTCACTTGTGACAATCTGGCAGAGAGAGAGGGAAGGAATCTAGGAAGAGTTCAAGCTAATTATCTTCTTACTAACCTGGCATTAGAGAGGCTCATAAAGATTGTTTGTTAAAGTAAATAAAAAGAGTAATATTGTTTCACTGTAGTCTGAGAATCACACTCGCTGCAATTATTTTTCCCATGTATTCTTCCTAGCAGTCTGCCACACATTTCTCATTTTAAGCCATTGAAAAACTGCACCAAAGTTTCTATTTAAATTTGCTCAAAAAGCAAATTCAGAAAATTGGTCGAAAACCAAGAAATTACGTAGTCTAACTCCATTATTTGCTAAATTATACAAAATAATAATAATAATAATAATAAGGCAAAGATCTATTGGTTTCCAAAGCTCACACAGAGAACCCTCTGGAATTTAATAAACCACACCATAGAAAATCCACCACTTTCTCCATTTGTAATGAAAAACCAAAGCTTCACTTTTTCAAAAAAACGAGTCTTTTTAGAAACTGGGAGCAGAACCACTGTACAACTACTAAACCGCAGGGAACAAAAACTCCCAGTACATTCTGGAGTGATATCCCGGCCAAACCGGCTGGCAGCCAATCGACGTGACCCGGGCAAGAGTTGGTACAGCAGAGTATTTAGTTCGGCCCCCTCTAGAATGAAGACGCTTTGGGACATTCTCCAATGAGAGCCGCTTAGAGGTTGGGGCGTGGTCTCAAGGGCGCGGACAGTTTGGCTCTGGATAATGGGAAGTGTGCGCTGATTGGCCGGGCTTCTTACCTCTACAGACCAGCCCTCTTTGGGCTGCGGCTGCAATCCATCAAAAGAACTGCACCAATCAGCGGCGAAAAGCCCCCTCTACCTCCCACCCGCGGGAAAGCCCCGCCCTTCAATATATTGCTCAGGAGGTCCGTCGCAGCCCCTTTGGCTCCTAGTTTACCCCGGCTAGGGCAGTGTCGTCTTGGCGGCACTGCGGAGACCTCCACCCAGGACGGCTCCCCCTCCCCGGGCCACTCCCCTCTGGCCCGCGAGTCCCCTCGCCTCGTAGACCTCTCGAATCTGATATCGTGGGGTGAGGTGAGAGCAGGCCCGGGGAGGGTGGTTACCACTGAGGAGCCGCAGTCGCTATCAAGGTGAGCTGGGACTGCGGGGTCGACGCCGGATTGCGGGTGAAGATTAGGGTTAGGGGCGCGGGGTGAGGCGTAGGTCTGGCCTGCGCTTTTTTTTCTCCATTAACTCTCCCGCTGCTGCTGTGAGTGCAAGCCCAGGCTAGTCCGAGCCTGGAGGGGCGGAGCCGAATCAGTGTTCTCGAGGTGTCTTAGTATTTTGCCGGCCCAGTCCCAGGGACCAGCCCAGAGGCGAAAGAGCGGGGTTCACGAAGTTAGTGGTTCCGCGATTGCCCTGCCTTCCTGTCTTTAAATTGGTGTAGGGAGGGACCGTCCGTGTATCCAGGGTTTAGCTTCTACCCGGGACATAGATGTGTTATATACACTTAAATTAATTAAATTCCCGGGTTCATCTTGCAGACCGGGTTAGCCCCCGGCCCCGCTAAGTGTTCCCATAGCACCTTTTTAAGTTTCCTTTCCTAACTCCAATAAAATTTAACTATTATTGAGCACTGTGTGCCAAGCACTGTAATGCATTCATTGAATCGTCTTGTTTAATCTTCACATTCAGAGGCAGATATTGTTACTCTCATTTTACAGATGTAGAAATAAGCTCATTATTATTGTCCAGTGTTTAAGCATCTACCATATGTGTTAAGCTCTTTACGTGATTTCATTTAATCCACACAAGTATATGAGGTATAATAACCTTATCCCCACTTTACAAATGAGTAGCTAAGAAAAATTAACTTGGATAGTTCACATTGTTAATATATGGAAGAATACATACCACCTGATTTCAGCGTTCTGGTATCCTTAGTGTCTAGTCATGATTATCAATTGACAATGAATAATTTGAACAAGTATTTATTGAAGATTTGCAATCTTTTTTTAAAGGGCATGGTCCCTGTCCTCAAGGAACTCACAATATAGGATTTGACCAGCCTGTAGAAGGGAAAAAAATCTAAGCCATTTTGCAATGGCTTAGATTCACCAGCCCCATTGTGTGTGTGTGGGGGGGGGGGGGGGGGGGGGGTAAGGCTTGTGTTATAAAGCTCTTCTTGACACAATGCAAAGATGACCAAGGAAAGCAGAAAGGGCTACTCTTACACTCCTTTCTGGGTTTTGTTCTATATATAGATGATAGAGGTACTGACAACAACTGACTCTCAGAAACTGCTACACCAGCTAAATGCACTGTTGGAACAGGAGTCTAGATGTCAGCCAAAGGTCTGTGGCTTGAGAGTAATTGAGTCTGCACACGATAATGGCCTCAGAATGACTGCAAAGCTAAGGGACTTTGAAGTAAAAGATCTTCTTAGTCTAACTCAGTTCTTTGGCTTCGACACGGAGACATTTTCTCTAGCTGTGAATATACTGGACAGATTCCTGTCTAAAATGAAGGTATGTTTAAAGCAACATTACCCTGAGTATCTCAATTTTGCTCAATGTGTTTTGGAGATGGAATTTCCAACCTTTGGATGGTATTCATAAACTTGACCTTTTTTATTTTCAGCAAGTAGTCGAAACACTATGGTAATTTTACATACTACAGCATTAATATGCTTCCTTATCATAATCAAGAGTTATGCATCATTAGACTTAAATCTTAGATGAAAAATAGTCTAATATCAATTAATTGCAGACTCTCCCAGTAGGAAAGTTGACTGTTTTTAAAAACCTATCTTGATAGCTTAGATATTTTCATTTATTTACTGTCATTTTTAGATTTAAAGAAATTTGTTAGAGGCAGAATGCTAGATTGTGGTTAAGAATTAGGATATATTTCTTAATCATTACCTATATATAAAGTTCTAATTGTTTTAGCCTTAGACCTGGTCAAGTATTGCTTACGGTTGGCATTTCCAGATTAAATTTGCCTGCAGTAGAGAGTATCTTCTGAAAAGAGGAGCATTTATATAATTATTTCCCCATACTGGATAAATAAGACAGCTATGTAGCTTTCAGAGCTTAACTGTTAAAAATATACCTCTGCCTTCTCTGTATGTCCATGGTCATTGGAGGATAATGAGATGTGACAGTTAAAAATGAGTCATATTTTAGTCCTCAGTACCTAACACAATGCTTCATATATAGAAGGAACTCCATATTTGCTCAGTTGAATGGTTCAAGATACTTGTTCAACAGACTGATTAAACAACTCCGTAGACACCAGGTGTGGGCACTACTTTTGAATCTATAAATATTGCACGAATGAATAATATACAGCTGTCCCTCAAGTGTAATACAGTCTTATGTGGGAATAAGATGGTTGTACTGGTAACTATCATCGAATACAAATCATAATAAGAAAAATAATTACATATGCCCTTAAAAAAGAGGTATAAATATATTGCTGAATGGGTTACAAGGAGAGAGAAGAGAGATTGGTAAAAGCTTCATTTGAGCTGGAACTTAAAGACTGATAGAATTCTGACTGTGCGTCACAGTGCAACATTCAGAAAATGATGAATAAGTGGAAAAGATATTGGTAGTGGACAGAACTTTACAGGCAGAGTAAACAGTATGTATGATAGTACTTAAAAACTTTTATATGTGTTACTACAAAGAAAACAGCCTGGAAAAAAATACAATGCCCTGGAAAAAAATTTTGTGAATAAGCTGTAAGGTGTTTTAGTCCTCACATAAGTCATTGACCAGTTAACTTATTTGGTCAAACTAGAAGACAGTCCTTACTTATAGTTCTACAGTGATAAACAGGCTTTTTCTATGCTAAAGCCAAACATGCTGAAACTTAGTCCCGTTATTCAAAAATTGGTTCCAAATCTGGTACATAGAGTTGACAGGCTAGAGTTTAGGAATGAGTGGATCATGTTAAAGTCTATCACAGCTGAGAAATATGAGGGTACTTCAAAAAGTTCATGGAAAAATAGAATTAAAAGATAATACAAATCCTTCCATGAACTTTTTGAAGTACCCTCCTATACCTCAGATACATTTTCGTAATGATGGGTCTGAGTTCTAGATTATCCTTTAAGTGGAGTAAGGTGGAGACATGGGTTTATTGTTTTTTGTTGTTGCTTTAGGTACAGCCCAAGCACCTTGGGTGTGTTGGACTGAGCTGTTTCTATTTGGCTGTAAAATCTATAGAAGAGGAAAAGAATGTCCCATTGGCTACTGACTTGATCAGAATAAGTCAGTATAGGTTCACGGTTTCAGACTTGATGAGAATGGAAAAGATTGTATTGGAGAAAGTGTGTTGGAAAGTCAAAGCTACTACTGCCTTTCAATTTCTGCAATTTTATTATTCACTCATTCAAGAGAACTTGCCATTTGAAAGGTATGTGAACTTTGTTTTGAACAAAGAAGGTTTGAAATTCAGAATGGTATTATCTGGATATTTCATAAAGTCAATATTCTTGTAGAATTCAAATTATAGACAGTAAAATGACAGTTGTGGCTTCTTGAACTTTACTGTCCAGCAGAGTGAAAAGACTTTCAGTTGTCCATAGCTTCATGAAGACTAATTCTTGGCATTAAAGGACATTTCAAATTTATAGAACCTAGTTGGTAAGACTCTAATATAAATTTATGGAAATAGGACCTGCAGTAGATGCAGAAATAGATTAAAAGGAAAATAAATCTTGATATTTGTGGCATGATACTGTTCTTTTTATTTTTTTGGCCCAAATCATTTAAAACTCATGTATGGTGCCCTTAGGAAGTTAATATCTCTGATGGAAGGGGAATTCCTTTACTTCAAATATTTTTTTTTTCTTTTGGTGGCTGGATGGTACTGGGATCCAAACCCTTGACCTTGGTTTTATAATACCATGCTCTAACCAACTGAGCCAACCAGCCAGCCCCAAATAATTTACTTTCTGCGATGTGTGCATAAGCTTCACTTTAAACATTGACTTATTGTTTTTCTGAAAACGTCTCTTGTCTAGTTGTAATATTATCTCTATAAAATTAATTCCGTTTTCTTTTTAAAGGAGAAATAGCCTTAATTTTGAAAGACTAGAAGCTCAACTTAAGGCATGTCACTGTAGGATCATGTTTTCTAAAGCAAAGGTAAATATTTTAGAAAGATTAAACCTACTTATATAGTCCTATTTTTATATTTGATGTTTACTTTAAATTTCTCTTTTATTTAGCCTTCTGTGTTGGCGTTGTCTATCATTACATTGGAGATCCAAGCACAGAACTGTGTAGAGTTAACAGAAGGAGCAGAATGTCTTCAGAAACATTCCAGGGTATGTCAAGGTCATAGCTGTAAAAGAAACTAAACTACCTGTATGAGCTCCTGAAGTAAAATGGGATGTCATATGTTTATTTGAAACTTAAGTAGCTATCCTTAAATTTTTTTGATGAGGAAAGATATGTTAATAGGATCACATTTATTACTGTAGTAAAATACAGTGGAACTTTAATTTTTAAAAATTTATTTACAGATAAATGGCAGAGATTTGACCTTCTGGCAAGAGCTCGTATCCAAGTGTTTAACTGAATATTCATCAAACAAATGTTCCAAACCAAATGTTCAGAAGTTAAAATGGATTGTTTCTGGGCGTACTGCACGGCAATTGAAGCATAGTTACTACAGAATAACTCACCTTCCAACAATCCCTGAAATGGTTCCTTAATTGGTAAGTTTGGTTCATTGTTATTCTCCATATAGAGAAAAATTTCCAATGCTATAATTCTCTTCTATAATTGAAGAATTTAAAATATTATCTTCAAATACATAAAATGACTTTAGAATAGCCACAGGAAAAAATGACTTCACGGATCTAATCAGCTAATATTTGAAGGTGTTTACTACATACAAGGTACAATACCCTAAGAGTAAGGAATTAACCTCATGTGTATGCTAGCCATTTCATTAAATTATGAACTTAGAAAACAGCATCCTCCTTAGTAGCCTGAATTTTTAAAGTTGGACTAAAATAGTAATTTTTATTGCATAATATCTTGCTGTATGTAGACCCAACTTCTGGCTCATTTAAAGTTACACAAGCCTAAGAAGGACGAGACCATAAGTTTGAACCATATATGAACTAATTTAAGACTATTAGCTTATAAGCAAAATTAAAATGAACATGGATATTGTACTTACAAAGATATAGCAGATGGTCTCCACTTTGGGTGTCTGGAAACTGCCAAGGGGTCTCAACATATAGTTGCATATCATTTCTATAGCAGTTGGACTACTTTAAAGTAGTTTTATGCATAAAAATGTAAACTTGGTCACTGCATATATGATATACATTCTTGCCATCTAAATTTCTTAACTCATAGGGATGATTTTTTTCTACTCAAAACTAAATGTTATTTAATACGTCTACATATGAACCTTAAATATGAACAGTTCATTTTTTACAGTTAACATAAGCAAACTTCTGATAAGTTGTTTTTGTTGTTGTTTATTTAAATAGGATTATTACAGTAACTAAAAACTCTTCTCTGAAGCCTCTCTCCACAACCCTGGGCTACGGATGCCATGTTGTGATGGATTTTAAGCTATGAAGCCTCAAAACATTACAACTAGATTTAGCATTGATGTTCTCATTCTGGGAAAACTGCCTAATTAATATATGCTGTAGCGGAATTATGTTTAGATTTTAATTCATCTGTGAAACATTCAAATCAAAGCTAAAAGCATAAATGTGAAACGTTAATAACAAGCCTGAGAAGGTAAACTGTGAATCTTCATTTCTAACATTGATCTTTCTATATTGGATCAATATATTGTATTTAGGTGGTACAGAAAATGGTAACCTACTTAAATGTTAAATTTTAAATTGAGGTTTAGCTCAAAACCAACATTTCACAAATGCACTTTTAAGGCACAAGGGTTAATATTCTAAGCAGTGTAAATGGTTTCTTGGCACCTGTAGTGCAAGTAATAGATAATCCAGAGATGTGGACTTTATTGCTATCTGGTGATTACATTTAAGTTTGAAGGCATTTTATATAAGGAAAAAATACAGACCTAGTAAGTTTGGCATAGTCATTAAGTTATCTTTAATATTTTTTCTAGAAAACAGGTGATGTTTGTATCCATGATGAAAAATTTTATACAAAATTTACTGCCTCAATCTACTTCATCGAGAAAATTAGTTTCTTTTTTATTAGTGACTCAAAATAAATTATCACTCTGAAAACTTGCATTACCTCAGTAAAGTTCAGGCTAGATTTAACACTCCAGATGTTTTTACTAAAGAGATTTTTATAAAACTACCATTACTTCTAATTTAGAATTTTGTTTAAAGGAAGAGAATGTACTTGTTAAATGCCCCTACTATGCCAAAACAAAGTGTTAAGAACAGTAAGTAGGCACCTTCATAATTATGACGTCACTAAGGTATTGTTCAGGATTTTTCATGTCAGTGAGTGAATGTAAGTTAGTAGGTTTACGGTGTTGAAGTTTTCTATATGGTTACTCAGTGCAAAGTGTAGCCTGAGTCCATCCAGAATGGCTGTAACCAATTTTGACATCATGTTGTGGATAAATAAGCACTGAAAAATAAACCAAAGAACCACATTATATCTTATCCTTAACATTTATGAACCATGTTTTATGGATAACTTCAGTTTTCCCAAAAGGCTGATATATTTCAATATTTTGAATACATCAGTGTTAATTTTGAGTTGGCACAGGTAACCTAACCAACTACCATTATGTTTTGGTACTAAGTGATATACCTTTCAATAAAGTTATTGAAATGCAGTCCTTTGTTGGGTGTTTTAGTTTTTCTCCTGATTTAATTACTTTAGCAGTGTGATAACAGAACTATGATAAAACTATCTCTATTTAGTATACTTAAACTTAGCAGTAAAATAAGATGCATAGTAGCAGAAACAATAAAATCTCTTTATAGTATGGCTATTACCTAATTGATACTTTATTTTCTAATAGTTTTTAAAACAGACACAGATAATGACATATAAATATGCTTAATGTGCACTAACAAGTTGGTGTTTATGTATTATTAATCACTTTTGTCATTTATATTCATCACTATTATGAATGCTAGTCTTAATACAAATTTACTCTTAGATTGAGCCCACCTGAAGTTCTGTGCAAACCCTCTTACCTAATTAAACAACATTCCAGTTAATGATATGTAACTGTCAACTATTATGTTAGCTTTCTTGGATCAATTAGTAATAATTATTGGAACTGAAACAATTAATATCTGATTTTGAGCTGTTATTGATTGGTTAGACTAACAAGACATCTTATAAATTGTACATAGAAAGGAATTACTGATAAAAGAAAAACTTATAAAAGTAGACTTGCACTTGACTCTGAGTAGACATATTTAATAACATCTCTTTTCACATTTTATTTTTTAAAAAGGTATCCTTATATATATATCCAACTATGAGACATGCTATTGAAAAACAACAGACATTTCTGATCTAATGTGTGTGACTGGCAATGATAGCTTTTACTGTCAGTTACTATTGCTAGATGTTTGTCATGAATCATCTCATGTAATTCTCTAAACAGAACAAGGTTATCACAAATTACAAATGAACCAGAGCCAGAGATGCTAAGACATTTGCCCCTGGTCACGTACCTTATACTTGGAGGTGAGATTCAATCCAGGTAGTTCTGTCTCCAGAGGCTGTGCTCTTAACCACTCTGCACAATACCTCCCCCCAAATAGAAGATTATTTGGACTTATGTGAAATTGTGTAATTTCCAGTCAAAACTATATTCTGGTCACATTAACTTAAGTGCTATATCATCATGATCACAGATGAACAACAACACTCAAAGAATTTATTTTCTCTATTTTATACTAATAATTTTTGTGAAATGTGTTACCAAGGGCCGGCCCGTGGCTCACTCAGGAGAGTGTGGTGCTGATAAAACCAAGGCCACGGGGTCAGATCCCATATAGGGATGGCCTGTTAGCTCACTTGGGAGAGCGTGGTGCTTACAACACCAAGTCAAGGGTTAACATCCCCTTACCGGTCATCTTTAAAAAAAAAAAAAAAAGTGTTACCAAGGATAAAGAGAGTGATTATATAATGATAAAATCAATTCACCAAGATGACATAATGATCTTAGATGTGTAAGCACCTAATACCAGAGCTTAAAAATACATGAAACAAAACGTGACAGCACTGAAAGAAGAAATGGACAAAGCTTCAATTATAGTTGGAGACTTTCTCTCACTAATCTATAAAATTACTAGAAAATTAGCAAAGAAGTATAATAACTGAATAATACCAGCAACAAGCTAGTCCTAATTGACATAAAACATGTTATCCTAAATCAGAATAAACATTCTTTTCAAGTGTACATGGAACATGCACCAAGACAGACCATATCCTGGGTCTTAAAACAAACCTGAACAAATTTCAAAGAACTAAAATCATACAACGTATGTTCTGTGACCATAAACTAGAAATCAATAATAGATAACAGGAAAATGTCCAAACACTTGGAAATTAAACAAGACTTCCAAATAATTAATGGCTCTAAGGGGAAGTATCAAAAGAAATTAGAAGACATATTAAACCGAATGAAAATGAAAATATCAATGTGTGTAATGCACGTAAACCAATAATCAGTATTTACAGCACCAATTGCTTCTATTACATAAGAAAAAAGGTCTCAAATCAATACTCTAAGCTTCCACTTTAAGAAAATGAGGGGGGGGGGAAGCAAAATAAACCCAAAACAAGCAGAAAGAAGAAAGTAATTTAAAAAGGGTGTGTGGGGGCAGGGGGACACCAATAAAATTTTAAAACATTAACAATAGAGAAAAATCAACAAAACTAAAAACTAGTTCTTCAAAAATAGCAATAAGTTGATAAATCTCTATCAAGACTAACAGAAAAACTAAATTATCAATCTTAGGAAAGAAATAGGAGATTCTACTACAGATACTAAAGACATTAAAAGGACACTAAGAAATTATCACGAACAACTCCATGTACATAGAGTTAGATGAAATAAACCAACTCCTTGAAAGACACAACCAAAACTTAAATAAAATGAACTAGATAACCTGAATAAGTTGGGTAGTTATTGTTTAAATGGAATCCATTGTTTAAAACCTTACTGGCAAGTTCAAAGAAGAATTAACATAAACTTTACAAACTTCTTCAGAATGTAGAAGAATAACATTCCAATTCATTTTATAAGGCCAGAATTAACAAGATAACAAATCAAATAAAGATAATACAAGAGAAAAAACTATTGAGCAATATCCCAAATGAATGTAGATATATGAACTGAATACGCCATGACCAAGTTTGGGATGGCACGAGAGGGAGAGATTCAGCTGTTCCAAAATTCTAAAATTAATCAATATAGTATATCATAGTAACAGTCTAAAAAAAAAAAAATGATCAAATCAATTGATATAGAAAAAGCATTTGAGTATTCAGGGTCTTTTGTTCCACACAAATGTTAGGATTGCTTTTTCTATTTCTGTGAAGAATGTCATTGATATTTTGACAGGGATTGTATTGAATCTATAGATTGCATTGGGCAGTATGGTCATTTTGACAATATTAATTCTTCTGATCCATGACCATTGAAAGTCTATTTTTTGGTGCCCTCTTTAAGTTCTTTCCTCAGCGTTTTGTAGTTTTCATTGCAGAGATCTTTTACCTCGGTTAAATTTATTCCTAGGTATTTTGTTTGTAGCTATTATAAATGGGATTGCTTTCTGATTTTTCAGCTAGTTCATTGTTGCTGTATAGAAATGCTTCTGATTTTTATATGGTGATTTTCTTATCCTGCAACTTTACTAACTTTGTTGATCAGTTCTAAGAATATTTTTGGCCAAGTGTTTAGATTTTCCTATATATAAGATCATTTCATCTGCAAACAGGGACAATTTCACTTCCTCTTTTCTAATTTATATGCCCTTTATTTCTTTCTATTGCCTAATTGCTCTGGCTAGAACTACAGAATTATGTTAATAAGAGTGGTGAGAACGGGCCTCCTTGTCTTGTTCATGGGCTTAGAGAAAAGCTTTCAACTTTTCCCCATTCAGTATGTTATAGCTGTGGGTTTGTCATATATGGCCCTTATTGTGTTGAGATATTTTCCTTCTACACCTAATTTGTTAAAGAGTTTTTATCATGAAGCAATGTTGAATTTTATCAAGTGCTTTTTCTGTATCTATTGAGGTGATCATATGGTTTTTTCCCTTCATTGTGTTGATGTTGTCTATCACACTCATTTATGTATATTGAACAAACCTTGCAGCTCTGGGATAAATCCCACTTGATCATGATCTAAACAATCCTGAGCAAAACGAACAAAGCTTGAGGCATTACAGTGCCTGACTTCAAAATATACTACAAAGCTATTGTAGTCAAAACAGCATGTTGCATAAAAACAGACACATGGACCAATGGAACAGAATAGAAAACCCAGAAATAAGTCCATGTTATCTATAGCCAACTGATTTTTGACAAAGGATGCCAAGAACATACACTGGGGGAAGGATAGCCTCTCTAATAAATAGTTCTGGGAAAACTAGATATCCATATTTAGAAGACTGAAACTAAACCCCTATCTCTCATGATATACCAAATTCAACTCAAAATAGATTAAAGACTTAAGTGTTAAGACCTGGAACTATAAAACTACTAGAAGAAAACAGAGGAAACACACCAAGACATTGGTCTGGAAAAAATTTTATGGAGATGACTTATAAAGCACAGGCCAACAATAAACATAATGGGATTACATCAAACTAAAAAGTTTCTGCAGAGCAAAAGGGACAATCAACAGAGCAAAGAGGCAACCAGCAGAATGGGAGAAAATATTTGTCAACTATTTACCAACAAGGGTTTAATATCCAGAATATACAAGGAACTTAAACAACTCAACAGCAAAAAACAAATAATACAATTAAAAAAAATGAACAAATGACCTGAATCGACATTTCTCAAAAGAAGACATACAAATGGCCAACAGGTATATGAAAAAATGCTCTACATCACTAATCATCAGGGAAATGCAAATCAAAACCACAATGAGATCATCTCATCCCAGTTAGAATGGCTATTATCAGGTGAGGATGTGGAAAAAAGGGAACTCTTACACACTGTTGGTGAGAATGTAAATTAGTACAGCCATTATGGAAAACAGTATGGAGGTTCCTCAAAAAACTAAAAATAGAACTACCTTAGAATCCAGTAATCCCACTGCTGGGTATTTACCCAAAGGAAAGGAAATAAGCATACTGAAGAGATATCTGCAACCCCTTTATTACAGCACTATTCACAAGAGCCAAGATATGGAATCAACCTAGGTGTCCATTAGACAGATGAATAGACAATATGGTATATATACACAAAGGAATACTATTCAGCCATGAAAAAGAATGAAATCCTGTCATTTGCAGCAATACAGAAGAGTCTGGAGGATGTTAGGTTAAGTGAAATAAGTCAGGCATGGAAAAGTAAATACTGCATGTTCTCACTCATGTGGGAGCTTAAAAAAAAAGTTGATCTTTTATAAATAAAGAGGAGAAGAACTGTGGATGCTGAAAGGGGAGAGGGTGAGGGGAATAGAAGTTGGTTAATAGACACAAAATCACAACTAGACAGGAAAAATAAGTTCTAATAGTGTACAGCAGTTCTAGCTATCTATAATTAGCAATTATTTATTGTATGTTTTCACACGGCTAGAAGAGAGAAGCTCAACTGTTTTCAACATGAAGAAATGATAGTTTTACAATGATGAATATGCTAATTATCCTGTCTTGATTATCGCAAATTGTATACATGTATTGAAACATAATTTTGTATCCCATAAATATGAAGTAAATACATGTCAATTAAAAAAAATCCTTTTGAAAAAAAAAGGCATTTGAGAAAATTCAATATCCACTCATGACAGAAATTCAGCTAACTAAGAATTGTAACAAGAACTTCCTCAATGTGATAAAGGGCATATATGAAAAATCTAGGGCTAACATAATACTTAATGGGGAAAGACAATGCTTTCATAAACCCTAAGATCCAGAACAAGACAAAGATGGCACTTTCTGCACTTTATTGTTCTAGCCAGTGCAATCAAGCAAGAAAAAGATCTAGAAAGGATAAAATAAAACTGTTCCTATTTATGGTTTATGTAGAAACCACAAGGAATCAAGAACAAAAATACTCCTAGAATTAACCACTGAGTTTAGCAAGGAAACAATACAAAGTCATCAATAAAAATCAGACATTTATACACACTAGCAATAAGCAAAAGGATAACCAAATCTTAAAAGCAAAACCATTTACAATAGCTCCAAAAAAATGAACACTTAGGAACAAATCTAACAAAAGATGTAAAGGATCTATAAGCTGAGAAATGCACAAAGTGCTGATGACTGAAATCAAAGAGGTCCTAAACAGAGACACCCCATGTTCATGGACTGGAAGACTCCTAAAGTTCCATTCAAAACCCCAGCAGGATTTTTTGTAGATACAGACTAACTGATTTTAAACTTTATATGGAAAGACAAAGAAACTAAAACAGCCAAAACAATTAAAGAATAATGTTAAAGGAATCATGCTACCCAGTCTTGTCTTACTATAAAGCTACAATAATCACAGCAATGTGGTATGGGTGAAAGGACAGACACATAGATTTATGGGACATAGAGTCCAAAAACAGACTCACATAAATAGCTACTGATTTCTGACAAAGGTGCAAAGACAATTCAATGGGAAATGGATGTCTTTTCAACAAAGAATTTTGAAACAATTGGACATCCATATGCAAAAGAATGAACCTCCACCTAAACTTCACAGCTTATACAAAAATTAACTTAAAACGGGCCACAGATATAAATGTAAAAAATAAAATTATAAAGCTTTTAGAAGGAAACAAAGGGAAAAATCCTTATAATCTAGGGTGAGGGAAAAAGTTCTTAAACATGACCCCAAAAGCATAAGCCACCAACAGCATTATGAATTAAGACTTCATCAAAATTAAAAATTTTTGTGCTTCAAAATATACCATCAAGAAAGTGAAAAGAATCTACAGAATAGGATAATTTATCTCTAATAAGGGATTTATATCTAGAATATGTAAACAACTCTCACTACTCAATAACAAGACAATCCAACTAACTAATGGGCAAAGGATATAAACAAACATTTCTCCAAGGAAGAAATACACATGGTCAATAGCACAAGACAGAATGCTCAACATAATTAGTCATCAAGGAAATGCAAATCAAAACCAGAGATACCAAAGTATCACTTTGAATCAAAGGCAGATGACTAGTGATAGCACAGAGAAACTGGAACCCTTGTACACTGCTGGTGGGAATGTAAAATGGTACAGCCACTTTGGAAAATAATCTGGCAGTTCTTCAAATGATTACACATAGTTACCATATAACCTAAATATTCTAGGTAAGAAATGAAAACACATATGCACATAAAAACCTGTACACAAATGTTTATAGCAGCATTAGTCAGCATAGCCAAAAGGTGGAAATACCCTGAACATCTATCAATTTACAAATGGATAAAATGTGATTAATACAGACATACAATGGAATATTACTGACATAAAAATGAATATAATGATACATGCTAGAACATGGATGAACTTCGAAAACATTATAAGTGAAAGAAGCCAGTAACAAAAGACCACATTTTATATGATTCCATGTACATCAAATGTCCAAAACAAAGAGATCTATGAGACAAAAGGTAAATTAGTTGCTGCTTGGCTGGCAGGGGGAGATAACAGGAGCCAGGAATAATAAAAGGTTTCTATTTGAGATGATAAAGATGTTCCAAAACTAACTACAGAAATGGTTGCGTATGTCTGGGTACATACTAAAAAAAAACTACTGAATTATACATTTTAAATGGGTGAAATATATGGTATGCAAATTAAGTCTCAATAAAACTGTTTTAGAAAAAGTTTACATATGATTGCATTTATATGACATTTTTGAAAAAACAAAACTATACAGATAGAGACTAGATCAGTGGTTTCCAGGGTTTAGGGGCTGGGAATAGGGTGTGACTACAAAGAGACAGCATGAGGAAGTTTTTATGGTCACTGAACTGTTCAATATCCTAACTATGGAAGTGTTAAATATACATATATGGGTAAATCAAAAAGTTCATGGAAAAATAGAATTAAAAGATAAAACAAATCTGTCCATGAATTCTGAAGTACCCTTGTATGTGTTTAAAGTCACTGAACTATACAACAAAAAAAGTTAATTTTACTGTATGTTTATTCCAAATACATTTTTTAAAATATCAAAAAGAGAAGCCAATTAAAAGAAAAAAGCCTCTTCCCCAATAATCCATTCCTAAAATTATTGGGTAAAATGAGCAAGACAGGTGTTATAGGGTGGGAAGGCTGCAGTGGCCTACAGTGAGGTGTTGGGGTGCAAGCAGGGTAAGGAGGACATCCCTGCTCAGCACATGATGGAGCCTAAGTAGGGTGAGGAAGACATTCACATGGGGAGATGACCTACAATAGGGAGTCAAATACATTAAGGACAATAGGAAGCCGGTTTCCCACTGCTATTGAAGGGAGTTAAAAATATGGAAAGGGAGGAAACTAAAATAAACCCCATGGGATTAGGATAGAAAGTTAGAATTGAACACATAGTTTTCAATATATATGGATATAAAAATACAGATGTAAATACATGCACTATGTATACACACCAACAGTAATTGCACTCTAGCACACAGATCTTGGCTTTTAAATACCATTATCCATTAAAGAGAACCCGGGCTTTTTGGAAAAATGGCTGATTCCTGGGCTGGGGCAGGGAAAGCATAATGAGCCTGGTATATTTTGTGCCAGAGAGTAAGAAATCGCTCCAATAATGATAAGGACATGTCAAAAGGACACATAAACCACCTAATATGGGCTTTTGCCAGGCAAACGTACGGCAATTTTGAGAATAAAAGAATTTTAAACTACTGAATAAAAGAAGAAATCATGAGTCTCTACAGATATAGAAAGTTTGATGAGAAACAAAATAATACTTGAAACTATCTTCTCACAAAATAATTAATATATAAAGAGTAACTTTACAGTGAAGTCTGTCAGACATTACCGTAATCAGTGATCTAAGTAACACCATAAGAAATGGGACAAATTGAAATTATCAATCCATGATAGGATGCAGTAAGAACACATCATCCTTATCATTCCTTCCAGAGATGCTTAGTGTGAATCTAATCATGAGTATTAGACAAAACTCACAGTAAGGGATACTTAATAGAACTAGCCTCTAATCTTCAAAAGTGCCAGTGTTGTGAAAGTTAAAGAAAAAATGAGAACTTGTTCCATACCAAAGTGGACTAAAGACATCTGACATCTAAAGACAAGGCATGATTCCGACTGGATCTTCCTGCTATAAAGGACATTATTGGGACAATCGGTTCAATGTGAATGTCTGAGGATTAGACGGTAATAATGTGTCAATGTAAATTTCTTGCTTTTAGTGGGTACATTGTAGGTTGGCTGGTTAGCTCAGTTGGTTAGAGTGCAACCTTATAACACCAAGGTCACGAGTTCGGATCCCTGTACCAGCCAGCCGCCAAAAAAAAACTAATGGGTGCATTGTAGTTATGTAAGAGAATGTCCTTTGAAGCGAGTGAACACTAAAGTATTCAGAGGTAATGGGGCATCATGTCCTCATCTTATTCACAAATGGTTCAGGAAGAAAAAATTCTGTGTACTTGTAGTAACTTTTCTATGTATTTAAGATTTAAAATATTTTAAGAATTAAAAAGACCATAAAAAGGATGAAATAAAACTTCAGTAGACAATTTCTACCTTTATGTCTGGATCACTGAAGATCAAACTGACTTACAATAAGTGACCTTAATTTTCTTTTTACCACTAATAAAGGACTCGCTCAATAACTATATTCACTTTGCTGCTTCTTTTGTATTAATCCACTCCTATTTTTAGATTTTTAACTATTTTTCAATTTCTTAACATAACTAATCCCTCAAGGAATAATATGCTAATTAAGAAATTTTCATTAACTCTTAAAATTTACTTACTCAAAATACATTTGTAGATTTTTTTCCTTTCTTAAATATTTTTTTGAGTACTATAATTCCCTTGTGTGAATTGGTATACTTAGACAAAGGGGTACACAACCCCTAGTTAGAAAACTTTATTGAACATTTCTCCTGCATCCCACTTGTCAAAAGAAAAACTTAATTTTTCCTGAAGGCATCCTTTCATTTCACATGATCTATACCCTAATAATTTTTGTATTAAAAATACACTTAAATATGAAATTAGTAAAATGCAGCATATAAAACTTCATGCTGGGCAAAAACAAGTCCAAAAAAAGGTTACCACATATCCACAGAATAGCTTCCACAGTACGTTTTCTATGTAAATCATATTTAAATGCAAATTTTAGAACCATATTTAAATATATTTTGTAATTTGTTAACTGTAGGCATCGAAATATTTCTTTGACCACATATTCTGATCTTTTGATCAAGCTTGCAACATCTGCTAGGATCCACACAATGCAGCAAAGAAACCCAGCAATTATTTCTCAAGGTTTGAGAAATCTGGTCCACCTTTAGTGTAGTTTCCTGAGATTTCTGCTCCACTGAAGTCAAAACCAGGATTCTAAAAGATATGAAAAAAAATAATAAAATAAAGCTTATAAGGGAAAATACCAGTATGAAGTGGCAACTGACAAAAAGAAGAAATATAAATGGCCAACGAATACATGAAAAGATACCAAAAACAAACTTCACGGTAATCACCAAAATGGAATTTAAAACTAAAGTATTTTTCAACTTTCAAAATTACAAATACTTAGAATGTCGATATTTACATTACAATGTTGGCAAATGTATGGGAAAACATATACTTCGACATCAGTATGGAAACAGATCTTAACGGCCAGTGTTTTTTAGGGGAGCTAACTATATGCCATGCAGAGTTCTAAGAGCTATACATATATCAACTTCTTTAACTCTCACAACAATCCTATGAAGTAAGCACTACCTCAGGCTTTTAGCCTTTTTGGTGGGGCCATATCATTTATTCAACAAACATTTATTGAGCTCATACTGTTTGTAAGACACCATTAGAGGCATGTGGAATTCAAGAGTGAACAAAACAAAGATCCCTGTTCTAGTGGAGCTTACGTTCTAGCAGCAGGAGATAAATAATAAAATGCACAAATTATCCAGTATAGGTGCTGCCAAACTTTTCTGTAAGAAGCCAGGTAGTAAATATTTTAGGCTTTATATGCCACACAGTGTCTACATGAAACTACTATATGAAAGATAATATACAAACAAATGAGCAGCATAGCTGTGTTCCAGTAAAACTTTACTCATAAAAACAGGTGGTGGGCCAGTTTTGGCCCATGGGCCATACCTGTAGTTTGCCAACCCCTGATCTAGTGTCTTAAAAGTTCAGTGCTACACATACAAAAGAGTAGGACAGTGTAAGACAAGATTATAGTTTTTAAGTGGGATGATCAAAGTATGCTTTAAAGGACTTGAAAACAATGAAAAAAATGGCAAGCTATAGAAGAGTATTGCAGTGAAAAGGACAGTGAAGAAATAGGCTAGCATGTTTAAGAAACAACAGGACAGTATGGGTAGAGCAGAATAACTGAGGCAGACAGCAGTGAGAGATAAGGTCAGGGAGATAATGGAGTCCGCTATTAGAAAGGGCCTTGTAAAAGAGGAAGGACTTGCTGAGTTCTGAGAAGTGACATGCTCTGACTTGCATTTTAAAAGGACTTCTCTAACTGCTATTTTTAGAAGACTGCAGCTGGGCTAGGGTAGAAGGGAGGAGACCAATTAGTAGGTTATTAGAGAAATCCAGGCAAGGCCTTAAAGGTGGTCCAGATAAGAGTGGTGGTAGAGGTGGTGGTAAGAAGTGGTCAATATATTTGTAAAGTATTGCCAATAAAATTTCCTAATAAATTGGAAAGGGTGTGAGAGAGGAAGGAATTCCAATTTTTTCAACATGTGCAACTAGTTTCCATCAACTGAGATGAGAAGGCTAGATGTAGAACAAATATGGGAGGGAAGTTGGGGTGTTCAATTTGGGCATGTTGAGTTTGATACGTCTGTCAGATAGCCAAGTGGAGATGTTGAATAGGCCCTACTGGATATACAGGTCCAAAATTAAGGACAGTAGTCTAAGCTAGAAATATACATCTAGAAATCATTAACATATAGATGGGAAGTACCCACTAAAACTTTAAAAGTGCTTTGATCTAGTAACTCCTCTCCTAGATATCTAAAAGATATCTTGGAACACAGAGATGAAAACACTGGCTTAGTTTAAAACAGAGAAAAATGGAGAAATCTACATTGTGGCAAAGGGGAATAGCGAAATAGATAATTATGATACATCCAAATTAGAAAACACTCTGAAGCAGCTAAAAAGAATGAATTTTGTCTGTATGTACTAGTAAGGAAAGAGACCTGAGACATACCATTAAATGAAAAAGTAACATGAAGAACAATACACACAGTGTTATCCACCATTTATGTTAAAAACAAAACAAGCCAGTATATGAGATGAGAATGAGAAAGAGGCATGCAATGGGGGTGGGGGTTGTGAACCCTTCACTTTTTTATACTATGTAAGTCTACACTGGCTTAATTTTTATAAGAGTTTATTCATGTACTACTGATGTACATTAAGTAAATGTAAACTCAGAAATCATAGAATACCAATAAATTCCTCTCAAGAAAATTTTTAAAAAATCAAATCCATACACATAAAATGGCCATTTTTCTAACCATTTACTTAAAAACTTCCTCTAAAGAATTTTTGTAACTTTACATTGAGGTTTAATTTCAAATAATAGTATTTATTCTATGATTTTTAGATACATAACTACACATATTTATACATTCATGTGACTTACTTCTTTCTGAAATCTCTCTAATGTAAGCTTTCTCTGCATTTGGTCTTGCACCCAAGGATCAGCTGCATATTCAGATTCTAGAAGAGAAGTCCAACAATTTGCTGCATCTCTCTTTGTCTTTGTAAGAACAATACGAACCATTTTTCTATCCTCTAAAGAAAAAAAACACAAAGAAAGGAGAGTTACCATTAAATTATATATTTTTCAAAAACCATTAGGTAATCTTGGCATGCAATTGTTTTCAACACGTTTCTAGTACTATATATTTCAAAGTTGCAAAGACAAAAGGGGACAAGATACTAAGTTCCAAGACAAAATTAATTTAAAAAAAGATTCTATAAATTATAATAGATTACCCTTACCCAAAGTCCATGTTCCCTCATCAGCTATTGTAGAATCAAAGAGTTTACCCTGAAAAAGAAACATATAAAGCACTAAAAATATAGCTTTTCATTAATTTTTATAAAGCTTTCATAATTAAGACTTATCTAATTTTCTATTTAATCCACATCTTATATCATTTCACCATATTTACAGGTGCTCAACTCTTAAGTTTCTTCCTGGCAAGTGAAATGGACCCTGGTTTACATTGCTTGGGATATTTACTACGACAAAGAACAAAGGGCTCTCTAAAGAAAGATCAGAACTCCTTAACTTCTAGAAGACATATAAATATTATTGATCACCAACCAGCCAAACGTGAAATACGTGAAAGGCTTTAATTTTACCAATCATCATGAACTACAACAGAGGATCTGTTAAAACTAGAAAGAAATTCTGTCTTTCAAAGTAAACTTTTAAAAACTGGTTCAATGTCTTTGTTGGGCAAATCCGTTAAATCAAATTTAAAGCACAAAGTGTAGATTTAATTGATGATTAGTTGTGACTAATTTTTCATAAACTAGTTTTAAGAAAAAAATAAGCAAAATATAAATTTAAAAGCAAATGCATAAACTCAAATCCATTTTAATTTGTTGCCAAATTTATGTAAAAATTAAAATGTAACTAAAAAAACCCACATTCTTTCATATGTCAATACTACTAATAAAAATCCTAGTGGTCTATATATGTACATCTAAACTCCCAGAGTTATTGCTAACTTCCCAAAGTTACTGGAGTTATCAAAGTTAATTTGAATTTTAGTTTAAAAACGGTGTTCAAGAAACTATGAATTGTACAATTACTCAGAAAGGTCATTAAGATACAAGTTGACATTGGGCCGAGCCCGTGGTGCACTCGGGAGAGTGCAGCGCTGGGAGCGCAGCAGCGCTCCCGCCGCGGGTTCGGATCCTATATAGGGATGACCGGTGCACTCACAGCGCTCACTGGCTGAGCGCGGTGCAGCCAGTCTCAAAAAGAACACACACAAAAAAGATACAAGTTGACATAAATCGATGTCTTTCATGCTCACCTTCTGAGGCACTAAAAGCACTTTTATATGAAACAGTTAACATATAGTGTGAGTTTATTACATACCAGGCACTACTCCAACCTCTTCATTCACACGGACAACATGTCATGCTTAAAGCAATCCTGAGAAAAGTACTATAATTATCACACTTGCTGATGAAGGTTTAGAGACACTGAATAATCTCTTGCCTGAGGTTAGAAAACTAGAAAACTGGCAGAGCCAGGTATCCTACCAAATAGTCTCCCCTTACCACTGCACCACATTGCCATCAAACATCTTGGGCATCTAATCTGAGAACAAAATCTAATTTCAATTTAATTTAACCACACGCTTAAGAAGGAAAAAGCGGGTCCCCGATCCAAAGGACTTCGGTGAAGAAAAAACAAAAGGGGTGCTGAGTATTTTCTTCACACACTTCTTCGCTCTTGCTTTACCATTCCACAAACAGGCAGTAGTTTTCTCATTTTAGATGAGAAAGTTAAGTCATCTTACATCATTTCTGAACATTCACCCCGTTATCCTATTCTTTATTTTCTTTGTTGGACTTTCCTATACCCGCCTACATATTAATCATGCTTCCCTACAGGAGCGAACCTTCTCCAGTGCAGGAACCTTATCTGTCCCGCTGTACTCCTGGCACTTAGATCAGTGCCTGGAAGTGTATATACGATATACTTTGTTCCTTTAACAACTTAGTTAATTTGTTCTCAGCTGAAGACCCTCAGAGGCGCAGAAGAGGCAGCTTGACTTAGTTTGATAATAAAGCACAAAAATGGGTTCCTCAAATTTCCACAATTCGGGACTTGCCCTTAGGACAGGGGCTCCAACCAGACCAAAACCAGGCCAATTTTATCGCTCTTCCTCTTTCTGCCAGCCAGAGGAACCATCCGACCCGACAAGAGTCACTCCACGGAAACAATGAACTTCAAAACTCGGGGATTTGCGGAGGCCGGGAGGAAACTGAGCACAAGCCCCGACCTGCCGCTACCTTGAGGATCTCGCGGCCACCCACGGCCAGCGCAACATGCCGGCTCTGCAGGCCGCACTGGATATCCTGGGCACGAGTCCCTGGCGGCACTTGAACTTCAATGAACACCTCCTCCAGGGTCTGGTACCACTGGCCCCACGGGGTCCCACATGGAACCACCCCACTGCGCTCCTCAAAAGGGGCCGACATTATCCAGGAACCTCCCGCCGTAGCCACACGGAGCGAGCCGAGCGCACGCGCGGAATCCCCTTGCTCCGGCTACGCCCAGGCTCTTCCGCTCGGGTCACTGCACATGCGCAGGATGCCAAGCTGCTGTTGCGGTGTGTGTTCGTTTTTCCCTTTCAAAGGCCATTTCCGGCACTGGCAGGGCCCGGTTTGAAAGAACTGAAATCCAGAGGAACTTAAATCTTAAGAACGCTGGGAGAGAGGTGGAACCTGTGAAGCAGAAACTCACCACACTGTCACCCATATGACGCCACAATACAGGTTTTCAGACTTCTCAGTTATGAAGTGCGTTTGCGCAAATGCAACCAGTGCATAAGTTACAATTAGTAACGACTGAAATGATTGGGGGGAGGGGAGGGAGTAGAGAACAGTAATAGTCTCCTATTGGCTGGTGGCCTAAACTCACAGGCTGCCTAATTGGACGCCGCTAGGACCCAGTGTGCATGCTCTTTTGATGTTACCGTGCGGGATTGGTGTGCCCAGGGTTCTGATTTTCTAATTGGCTAACGTCAGGGTGGGCGGGGAATGTGCGGAGAAATTTAAATTTGAAAGGAGTAGAGAGGTATAATCCGCGGGCAGTTGCCGCGGAGTGCTAACTTGCTTCGGTTTCTGGAGACGGTCGGCAGCATGTCTTTTCCTAAGGCGCCCTTAAAACGATTCAATGACCCTTCCGGTGGGTATAGGGGAAGGAGCTGGGGGACTGGAACTCTCACTCCGCTTTCCCCTCTTTGGTTCCCTACGTCGGAGGCAAGCAGGAGGCGATTTTAGGGCTGGAATGGGATTCATTCAGTTGATTCATTTTTATCATATATACTAAGCATATGCTACATGCCAAGTATTTTTATTCAGGATACTGATGATACAGCAGTGAGTAAATATGGAGACTACATTCAGGTGGGGAATACCGTAAATAAACAATTACTTCTGTAGAGAAACTAAATCAGGGGCAAGGGAATGGGAATGAGAAGGCATTGGTAGCTATTTGATAGTCAAGTGCAGGAAGGCCTCACTGATGAGAACATTTGAGTATTAATTTTCGTCTAAACTTGTGAATTTCTTTTGAATATTACATTTGGGCATAAAAGAAGGAAGATTGGTAATGGCAGTTTACTGGCATAAAATTATAGCAGTAGCACTTATTGAAAACACTGTAAATGTTTTTCATTTGGTTTTTCATTCTGATACTGACCACTTACAATGTACCCCAGGCACCATACTAAGTCTTTACATGGATTATTAGTTCTTTTTTAAATCCCCCAACAACCCTAAGAGGTAATCTTATTATTCATTGTTTTATTGATAATCTTACTATTCTTATTTTATTAAGACGGGGACTTAGATTTGCTCAATGTTATACAAACTGGCAGAACTGACGTATGAACCTAGGCTGCATAAATTCATCATGTGCTCCTACCTACTGCAGTGCATAAGCACAATAACCTGGAAGCCTTAGATGTGGTTGTTAGGGCATTCATCTTTTAGTAGATGATAACTGTGCTGAGACTGTGCTAAGGTCTCTCCTTCTAGTACTTATATGTATTTTGCATAACATGGATTTATAAATTTCCTGAGCCTCAACTTATCCATAAATTATCGTATAGAGTTCTTGTGAGGATTAAATAAAATAATATCCATAAAATGCTTAGTATAATTCCTGGCATTAGCAAGTGTTCAGAGTTCTTAGTATGGTTGCTTTTCTTCTGTGCATTCAAACTGCACTTGGCATCATCAGTAGGTCTGATGTATTGATGTTAGCCAGAGATGGATTATCACTATATTTTTTTATTCAAGGCTAATGAGGACTGGACAGTTTAAATTGCTTTATTCCTAGAAACCAATGGTAGTTACCTCAGTGACTCTCTTGGAGTAGAGTGGACACCAAATATTTCCCTATATTCAGTCCTTAATAACAAAGACATGTTGCTTGTTATTACATGATGTTCAACCCAAAACTATCTTAACTGTTCTGCTCAGTTGCCTGTGTTCTTTGACCCAATTGATATAAATGGCAAGATGATATTATTCTTCATAGAGGCCTTCTTTATAGTATCAAATGGATGCTATTTTTACATTTTAAAAAATGAAGCAGTTTATTGATATTTTTACATTTATATCCACTTTATTACGACGTTTTTAACTTAAGATTATACAAAACGTTAGATGAAACATTAATGTTTTATGTTTCCTCTAGGTTGCACACCATCTCCAGGTGCTTATGATGTTAAAACCTCAGAAGTATTAAAAGGACCAGTATCCTTTCAGAAATCACAAAGATTTAAAAAACAAAAAGGTAATGGATCCCAAAATAAAACAACGTTTATATGATTTTATAAGTTTTAAAGTTATGAATAACAATATTTAAGTATGAAAATACTGTATCATTTCTGAAAGTGTAAAGCTAGAACTATATTTAAATTTTCTTATTTGATGGATTTATGAAAGGGTCAAGTATAGAATAATGCTTTTATCATTACACTGTTGTATTACTGGGAAAATTAAGCAAGCCACTTGTATAAGCAAGACACTCATATATATGTATGTATATATATGTAGTTTCCCATTCGGTAATTGCCTTAACCTTTCTGTCAGGGAATGTCAGGAAAGTCAGAGAGGTGTGGGATGTGTAAAAAATATTGTGCAACTAATTATTTGGAAATGTACTATCAAGAAAAGAATAACTTTATGTTGCTTCATTAATAATTGCAATAAGAAATTTGAGTATTATGTTTTTTGTGTGGTTAAAACATGTAAACACCAACCATGATCTTTACAATTTATTTTTCTACAGAATCTCAACAAAATCTTAATGTTGATAAAGATACTACCTTGCCTGCTTCAGCTAGAAAAGCTAAAACTTTGGGATTAAAGGTGAGGAGCTTTTATATGCCACATGGTTTACTAACTGTATCATTAAAAACGTATCTGAAAGTTATTATATTTGATTAGAATGAGTTAAGTGTATAAATCAAAGTTGTAAGTAAATCTATAAACTGATGAAACAAGTTATCGTTAGGACTCTAGCAAGTTTTACATTTTTGCCTGGGTCATTACTAAATTCATTGCACTTAAATGTGCCTTTAGTTCGCTAATTACTAAATGGTATCCACTTGTCAGTCATTTCTGTATCTCGATAAATTTTACATTCCTAATTAGCCTTTAAAAATTATGCTATGCTTTGATTTGTTAGTTAGCACCATTTGAGTTGTTTTGCTTTTGTTTTTTTGTTTGCGGGGAAGAGTAAGTATTGTGAAGCAAAAAAAAAAAAAAAAAAAAATCCAGTGCCTAAAAGAGGTTTGCTACTCAGAAACTACTAAGGAGTGGTGGGAGATTAAATTCTCAATAGTTTTATTATATGGCTTGTACAAGAGCCTACTGTTACTGTTTTCATTGTCTCATATGCAAGCAAGTTGTACTTTCTTAAGCAGTTACACAAATTAATATTTTAATGTGAAAAGGATTCAGAGTTGAGAAACCAAAGCTCCAGGTTAAGCTTAGACTACTCATTCATTTGAGAGTTACCTAAGTCTCTTGTTCTATAATACAAAATTTATATATAATAAAAAAATCGTGGAAAATAGAATTAAAAGATAATATGAATCATTCCATGAACATTTTGAAGACCCCACTTATAGAGCTGTACTATCCAGTATGGAAGCGACTAGCCACATGTGGCTGTTGAACACTTTAAATGTGGCTAGTGCTACGGAAGAACAAAATGTTTAATATTATTTAATTTTAGTTAATGTATATTTTAAAACGTATTTGATTTTGTTAGTGGCAAACTTCTAGATGTTCTTGGAACTACTTGGGTATGTGAATCTACCTTTGTCTATATGCTTCATGAAATCTAAAAATAAATATTTTTGATGAAAATTCAGTATCTGAATTGAAATATGCTATGAGTATAAAATTCACAGCAAACTTTGAAGACTTAGTACAAAAAATATTAAACATATCATTAATAATTTTATACTAGTGACATGTTGAAATAATGTATTTGATATATATTGGGTTGAGTAAAATATATTAAAATTTCTTTTTAAATATTACTCCTAGAAAATTTAAAATACATATATGGCTTACATTATATTTTTATTGTGCAGGACTGATGTCGACACTCTTTTCTTGTACACTGATATAAATGGCTTGACTTGATTTTCTCAAGGAACAGTTCTGAAATTTTGAATTAATTATAGAATTTACAAATCCCCTTAAAAAACAAAATTACAAACAAGTTTGTGTAGAATCCCAAAATAATAGGTCTTCCCTGATAGAAAATGTCATAAACATAGAAACATATAGTACAGATTTTGTTCAAGGTCTTTATGTATTTTCTTCCATTTTTATATTGCTTTGCCTCCCATGGATTTTTCGCCCCTTTTCCCCTGGGTGACGGAGCCACCAAAGATTACTCAAAGCCCATCTCTTCTGAGCTGTGAGAAGCCCCCAAAAGGGGTTAATCTCCCGGAACCCTCAAGAGTGAGGCATTCCTTCCATTTGGGAAATTAAATAGGAATTGGGGTTTTCTTCCCACATTTATTCTCCAGACCAGGAAGTTACAGGAAGAGAACATAGGTGGGGTTTTTTCTAAGTACAATTTAACAAGTTTAACAATAGAAGCCGGTAACATTCGGTAAGAAAAGCAAGGTGACATTCTATAATGCAATTTTTCAAGAAGTTAAGTTGATCCACCAACAAAAGCTTGATCTTAGCAAGCATTCTCTTCTTACAGCAATTTCCCAGTATCTTTACATATCAATCAGTAACCTGTCTGTCTTTGAGCCAGCAACCTTGCTGTGTTACAATTCTTTATCTTACAACAGAGACTATAGCCTGAGGAAAATCTCCTGTCCTTTGCAAGGTCAGTATTTGAAACTGCAAGGCTTTAGAAAACCAGGCCCTGTGAAGTACATTTGCTTTATGCATACTCCACGTTTTAGATGGAAAAGATAGATATTCTATTTTTAACCATTGTGTCAGAAAGGTTGTTGGATACAAAAGGATGTAGTGTGAAAATATATGTTTTATGTAGAATAAAGGCAATGAGAAAATTAGAATCAATTTTGGACTGTTTCAGTTTTTCTTTATTTCTTTGTATCTGTATATTTATTTTCCTTTCTGAATATCAAAATTTAAGTTGATTTTTCTTTGTAAGATTGTTTTCTTTCCGAGATAACATACTAAATATTCAAAATGTGTTGCTATTCAACATTAGAAGGGAGGCAGTCAGTAGCTTTATTCATAAAGCTCTACCTATTCTTTCCACTGAGTGTATTCAAAAGAGCCAGATCTATTGGGTTCAAAACTTTCAAACCTGAAATATTTTGAGGGCCGGCCCAATGGCGCACTGTGCGCCGCTTGGGAGCGCGGTGGCGCTCCCGCCGAGGGTTCGGATCCCACATGCAGACCGGTTCCCGCTCACTGGCTGAGCGAGGTGTGGGAGCAACACCGAGGGTTGTGATCCCGTTGCCAGTCCCGGTCCGGTACGGGC